CGCTGCTGGTGGAAGTCAAGTTCCTGAGGGAAAAGAAATCACCCAAACTTCCCTGAGGGTATATTTACGAATCTCCTGGGAAGATTCGCTTCTCCTCTTGCTCCGGTTTTGTTTCTTGGATCATCCTCATCTCACCCCTGGATTTGGGACAGTAGCCGCCATCTGATCTACTGATCGAGGTTCATCAAACCCCGAGAGTTGGGAGGATCCGCCAGACCTACTCACGGACCCGGGACTCGTCAGCCTGCCAGCCTCTACCACTACTACGTGAAACAACCCTTGGGTGTTTGTGAGCTCTGTGAGGCGTTACAGCGAAATTCAGAACCCTAAGGAAATTACTGGGAGGAGGAGAAGGGATTAATGTCTGAAATGATGGAGTGGTATGCTAGTTTGAACATTTGGGACATTCTTGACCTCCGCCTCATGGGGACTAGCCTCATGCTGATCTTTCTAAGAGAAATTGTTCAAGCAATGACCAACCTGGGTTCATACCAGGTATGCAAAGATGGTTCAACATTAGAATGACAATCAACATCATCTATCACATAAATAAAACAAAGGAAAAGAACCACATGATAATATCAATTGGTGCAGAAAAGGTATATGATAAAATTCAACACCCTTTCCTAATAAAAACTCTCAGCAAAATAGGAATAGAAGGGACATTCCTCAACATAATAAAGGACATCTATGCAGCCACTCCTCGGAAGGAAGATGGGGCAATCTACTTCCGTAGTGATACTGCCTCGGAAACCCAAGGAGGGGTCGCTATGAGTCAGGTCTGACTCAATGGCACATAACAACAACATGCAAAACCAACAGCCAACATTATTCTCAATGGAGAGAGATTGAAACTATTCCCCATGCAAACAGGAACCAGACAAGGAAGCCCTCTATTATCACTTCTATTCAACACTGTATTGGAAGTCCAGCCAGGGTAATAAGGCAAGAAAGGGAAATCAAAGGCATCCAAATTGGTAAGGAAGAAGTCAAACTATCCCTATTTGCTGATGACATGATCCTATACCTAGAAAACCCAAGAGACTCAGCAAAAAAACTACTGGAACAAACTGAGAGATTTGTTATAGTGGTGAGATACAAGATCAACATACAAAAATCAGTTTTTTAAAGAGATAGCTGAAAAGGCAATAAGGAAATTAATATCATTTACAATAGCTACCAAAAAAAAAATAAAATAATTTGGGAATAAATCTCACTAGAGACACAAAAGACATGTACAAAGAAAACTACAAAGCACTACTTCAAGAAACCATAAGAGATCTAAATAAATGGAAGAACATACCATGCTCATGGATTGGAAGACTGAACGTTGTGGAAATGTCAATACTACCCCCAAAGCAATCTATACATTCAATCTAATCCCAATCCTGATCCCATCAACATTCTTTAAGGATATGAAAAATCAATCACTAACTGTATATGGAAAAGAAAGAGACCTCAGAAAAGCAAAGCACTGCTGAAGAACAACAAAGTAGGAAGTCTCACGCTCTCAGATCTCAAAACCTACTATATAGCCACAGTAGCCAAAACATCCTGCTATTGGTACAATGACAAACACATAGACCAGTGGAACAGAATTGAGAACCCAGAAATAGATCCACCAACCTATGGTCAGCTGATTTTTCACAAAGGGCTAAAATCCTTTACATGGGGAAGAGATAGTCTCTTTCACAAATGGTGCTGGCAAAGCTGGATATCCATTTGTAGAAAAATGAAACAAGATCCATATCTCACACCATACACAAAAACTAACTCCAGATGGATCAAAGACTTAAATATGAAACCTAAAACTATAAAGCTCCTCAAGGAAAAACTAGGGGCAAATTTAGAGGCCCTAATTTGTGGTATTCCCTGGAGAAGGATGTCATGCTTGGTAGGGTGGAGGGTCGATGAAAGAGCGGGAGGCCTTCAACGAGAT